CTAGCCAGTGACACTTCGAAACTGCCGTTTGTAGTGTATCAAGGCCCTTTGGATCGTACGTGTAACGCACGTGAAGGAGTGAACTCTTCGGGATATCCTCGATATCCGCCCTACATAATCCTCGTCTGACCAGCATGAGGTGCCTGATCACTCTTTAGATGGTGGTCTTGAAAAGTCAAACTCATGGGTTTTTACAAAAGGAAAAGGGTCGTACCTAAGTTAAGATTCTGCGTTAAATCAAGAGACTGGCTGCCGAGAATATGAAGGTTGCTCCACGATCCACTTGGTACTTCGCATCGAGACTCAGCTGTAGCAACAATATACAGAAAGCATTGAATGAAATAGGAAGGGGCATATCACTACAGGAAAACATCATACCGAAAGGCCGTCCAGGGGCATGATATGCAATTGCATATGCAGTTTTGGTCGTATACGATAGAGGGGAAGATTGAGATCGTGAGCGGTCATCGCAGCCAGACTGGCAAACCCCTCCTTGGATATATGTACTACCCACCTCCAGGACCACAAGCTTGGCTGCTTGCTTGTCCCATGCTAAAGGAAAAGTCTTCCCAAAAAAACCCAGAATCCAACATCTTGAGGCCGCTTTCAACAACAGTTTTGGCATCCTCCAATGGTAGCCACATCCCATGCTTGTAGATGGTTCTCCAATGGATATTTGTGCTGAGCAAAGTCCACTTGAGCAGTTGCAATAAAGGCTGGAATTTTTCCTCAGTATCAGCTAGCAATTGTTAGCCTGGTAAAGCACCCTACCTAGCAAGCCCAAAAACCCAACCACCCCATATTCCCAGAAGCCCCACGCAGCCGCGCACTAATCCTTACCTAAGCTTAAACCCTAGACCCTAAACCCTGAACCCTAAACCTTAAACCCTGAACCCTACACCCTAAAAGCTAACATAGCCAAGATCTAATTCATTTGATCTAAGGCACCCTGGTTATAGCCATAGCTCAACGGCCGAGATGCTTCGACCGAGGCCAGCTCCACAGTTTGGCATAGATCATTTAACCAGGCTCCAAGAACAGCTGTGTCATGACCCTTCCCACATCCAGTGGGGAACATCTTCAACCTGAATGGTCGAGGGCAGGGATTGAATCAAGCTAGCTTTCGGGGTTTCTATCTGATTTAGCAGCTTAAAAGCTGAAAAATGTGCTTAACGTTTAAAGAAGCGAGGTAATCTTGAAAGTCTTGAGACTGAACTCCGTCAACGAAGATGTTTTGTGATGGATACGACACCATGTCTTGAAACGGCCGAAAGCCTCATCCAATTTTGATTGAAATGAGCGTCCTGCAAACACACCCATGTAGAGCAGTACGATGATAGAGCTGGCAACCAGATCCTTGCCCCACCCATTAATTGCGTAAGTATGGGCGGGGTCTGGCCGTATCCAGTACGCATCATCACAAGAAGGAAGATCACGCAGCGGTGACCGGGACAACTTGAAAGGGGAAGGGTTCTCACCATCCTGTGGCCATTGTCTTGTGCTTCCACTGGGACCCACATCGTACCAATCCTGCATTAATCCGAGGTCAAGGCCCAACACAGCCAGAAATCAGAAGCAGATCAAAGTACAATTTAGTAGACAAGGCCCTATAATGAATCATTCCAGGATTCAGTAGCAGGACACAAATGACATTTGCGGATGCTTGTGAACCCTGTCTGCAAATGCGCAGCTGCCCGGAGATAAGGCCAGTCGCCCTTCAAAACAATAGGCACAAATCGAAACGTGTAAGACGTCCCTTTCCAATTGACCTTACTTGCGCAGTTGGGGCAGGTAGCCTAAACGTTAATTATATAATCTTTAATATAATAATAGGAATAATAGGAGTATATTTATAGCGCTAGTAAGAACTAAGTACACCTGTTCAGATCGGGCACTGGGAAACCGGGGTTGTACAATCTCCGCATGTCTTCCACGAGGGCAGCATGAAGCATATCCAAAGTTTGCTTCTTGAAGTAAATCTCGGATGGAATGACCGAAAATAACAACCGGCTTGTGAACGAATGCCTGGGTTGTTTTAATGGCATGGCTGTCGTTACAATTCAGTGGGGTCTGGGGATTTTGAGGTTGGGTGGAGGTTTGGCCTTCCAGGTAGGAACAAATTATAGAGCTCAGGCAGAACCATCAGCTTTGTCAACCTTTAGGGTTTAGGGCTTTAGGGCGTAGGGTGCAGTTTATATACTGTTGGAGCATGGGGTTCAGGACACCTGCGATATGCACCCAAGAACCCAGAGGCGTTGCTGTACCCAGGACCTTTGTAGGAGATCATCGGTTGATACGAAAGAACCATCAGGGGCCTGCGTAGCTTCCCCCTTCCTTCATCTCCGTGCAGACCTATTGGTATGCACAGCGACAAGTCAGCACCATCCTCCTTGTAGATGTCAAGATTTGGCCTAACCCAACGATAGCGCTGCCAAAATTCCAAGAACATGCCACGAAAGCCGCTCGGATTGTCAAGAGTATGTCCACCCAATAGAATCTGGGCAGAGTCTGCGAAGATCCGTGTGGCCCATGAAGAAAGATATAGTACCGGAAACTGCACAGATTCCACCCGAGGCTTGCCACGCAACACCATGACCTTTGCAGGTGCTGTAGAAACCTGAACTGCTAACGTCTTGCCATTGCGGTGTATGAAGCTATGAAGGTTTCGGCATTCATTGCCCTTGTTGGCCGCGCACTGTGCCATCAAGCTAAGCATGGGGTCCGAAATACCTGAGATCTAGATTCGAATGATCATGAACCCAGTTATAAGATAGCAGTCCTAACGAAAATATGTGAATTCCAACAGCTACTACCATGGCCAGCTCTGGCTGCCAAGTCAGACATCACGATTGCTACTCCACAGCATGAACCTAGGATATAGTAGGTAGAACCAGCAACCTATATTTCTAATTGGACTAGCAACCATGTTTCTTGAACTTGTTGTTGGCCACGCGGGCTAATCGAACCACCCGCCGTGCCGAATCAGCCTTAGTTGCTAACTACGTATTATAAAGGGCATACACCATAACACCGCCGAAAATATTCCCACATGCATTCCAAAAACGCCCTGCTCAAGACCCAGCATGAGTTCTCGCACGAGGTCATCGTCCGCTGATGATCCATTGGAACCTGATGAAGGACCATTTTAGGGGGACTAGGATAGCTAGGTATTGGTCAGGTTGAAGTCTCAGAATCTAGCTCGATGTTTGTTCTTCAGCAGCAGCTGCATCTAGGAGACCTGCGGGGAGCACCAGCTTTTGCCCTACATAGCAGTAGCAGTTGCAATCAAACCACACAGCACGAATCGCATTGCATAGTGAAGGGGGCATCTTGAGTAGAGTAGGAAGTTTATTTAGATACTGGGCCCATTAATTATGCCATGGCATTGTTGGTAAATGGACCTACCAGCTGCAGCTGGACATGTTTTGCCATCACCAGCCGCGCAAATCCCCAGCGCCGTGTAGATCTACATGCTGTGGCATTCAGCCACGTACATGTTGCAAACATAAATCGTACTGGATGCACAACAGCAAGTACTGCACAAGTGGCCTTCATCAGATTTTGGACACCTTGAATGGCAATTGTGCGTAAAAGGTTCCACCTGCGAATCATTGCTGTGAGGCAAACCTTGGGCATGATCTAGCACTTTGTGCTTAGTCATTCCCTTTTGCACGCTAGGCCACTAGGCTTTTGCTTTGGGTGCACCTTTCTTGCCCTTCTTATCCTTCTTGTCCTTCTTATCCTTTTTGTCCTTCTTCTCCTTTTTTGCGGGGGCTTTGGACGCAGCACCCTTCTTGCCACGCGTGGAGGATCCGCCTTTGATCGACCTGGGCTGGAAGCGCCATGGTGTTGTCACAGAAATTGACGCTTGGTGGTGGGGTGGGTTGTGGTTCGGGAGTAGGGACTACATAGGATTAGGGAAAGGAGGTCAATAGCCATCCACACCCCTATACCTCGCAAATATACATACATATAATCTTAAGAGAGCATGTAGCTGACCCCCCATAGATATTAGCGATATAATGCCCAAGGTAGTGGGAATAGACCAATCCCCCGATGCGCCAGGGCGCAGCAGCAGTTACCATGTTTTTGAGTATAGTGGATGGACACCTACATGTGCTTAGGGTTTAGGGTTTAGGGTTTATGAATCGCACTTATAGCTAGGGTTTAGGGCTATTTCTTATAAGGTTTGCAGCTAGCGTTCGAGGGGCCTGGAGCGAACAAGGTAGCTGCCCAAGATCACATCTTGCTTTGTAATCTCAGCATAGATGCGCAAAAGCTCATCATTGAACTTCCTTGGGTATCACAACGGTACAAATCTCACACATAAACGGAATCTTTGTATTCCATGGGCCCGACTTTCCGAATTGTTCTCTCGATATAAATTCAAGCAACTCATCCGGGGCCCTCATCGTGATTGCCTGACCCTGCTTCGACGTGAGCTCCTTGTAGTAGGTGTTCATCTGCTTGAGGATCAGGCTCATCGGATCATGAAGCCTGCAGCTTCGATTTGATCAATTGGAATGCAGGATTTGCATCAAGCATACATACTAGTTGTGTAGCAAAGCAACCCTTTGGCGCGGTGATGGGTCGAAGATTTCAGATGGTCCTGCAGGAGTCGAGGTTTCCTACTTCCCAGTAGATATTATATCATGCGCCCCCTAACAACTATAAACCAGGCAATAAATTGGGTCCAGGTGATCTTCCAGGTTGTCAATCTTCCGACCAAGGATCTCGACAAATCCCGGCAACATATTTGAAGGGCTCGAGTTCTGCGCAATCGTAGGAAACACAATCCTGAGATGTTTCAAATTCAATGCATGGGATCCCAT